CTTCTCAGGGTTCTGTTCGTTTGTTTGATACAGGGAGAGGCTAAGGCAGGGTGCCAATATTTCTGTTGACCGCAACTTTAAAGCCTATTAAGTCTGCAAGTGTACCTATTGTACAATGCTTCACAGAAAAAGGGCACAATAAACATCCCCAACTGCAGTAAAGCTTTATGTGTCCTCCTTGGATTCAGAGAGTTGAACAGATCCCTGCTCTCCTCTCCGTGACTAATTGTTGGATGATATCAGATTGTGTTGTAAATATGAGCAAAAAGCAAAATATGAATTTGATGTTGCCTGTTATTTTGCCAATTTATGTAATTTTGCTAGTGTAGAAAGTGAAGCTCTGTGGAGTTATTAAATTGGTTCATTAATTTAGCTATGTCAGATTAAAGGCTAAAGCACAGGTACTGCATACAAGTATGTGGCATCATGCATGCACAATTCACAAAAAGAAAAATACTATAGCATTAACAGACATATACTTGTAATTCAGTCTTGATGTAAAATCTTGAAATTATATGTAATATGTAATTACCATAACAATTGAATCAGTACATGTATATTACATATACCTCATCAGTTTACCTAATAGAACCTTCATAAGCAATAAATGAGAACAAGACTGTTTTACTTCATTGATCCTTCCCAAAGACATAGCTTCACAAAGTGTGATCACCTTAGATCTTAGTGCAATACTTAGGGAAATTTCTGGTATTAGGTTGATTTAAACTTTAATTCAATGTACATTTTATGCAGTCTTATAGCCCTGTTGAGTTCCCACCAAGAGGGGGAGCTACATTGCTTTATTGTTGGGGAGGTTTTAGCCTGTTTGCATGAAGGGGGAAGAGGGACTTCTTCCAATTATCATATTGAAATTACAGCAGGTCACACTGCATTACCGGAGCTACTAAACCACAATTGCCATCAAACCTCGTCCTTAGCTGACTTTGACACAGAATTGCCACAATGCTTGCAATTAACACATTTTAATGACAATTTTGTTAATTAAATATAAGCCGTATGAGTCACAAGCTGTCATGGTCAGTGGTGTGTTGAACCTGTTGTCAGGGAGGGAGTAAATGGATCTTTTTTTTATGGACTTCCCCTTTACTATTTGGTAGATGGATGGTTGGTCACTCTGAGTAAAGCCACTCCCTGTGGTCCTTTTCATTTAGGCTTGGGTCAGATGGGACAACATGGACAACAATAAAACACAATTCTACGTCTTGTTTCTCAGTGACAAGTTGCAAATTATTTGAAATCCCTGCAGCGGTGTTTAGGGAGGTTCTTTCAAGAGCATCCATCCATCTCACTTCAGCTCACCCACCCGCCTGTCTTCTTCCCAGCTCTCCAGTGACTCCAGTGTTTGCGCAGAGGTGTCTGCATGTATGTGTCCAATCTCCTCGGATCGTTTGGCTCGTCTTGTAGTGATCAGACCCCATTGAGACAGACGAGTGTCTTGTAAAAAAAAATAAAAAATCCTCCCCATGACACAGAACTCTCTGTTGAATAGGTGCAAATCCCCTGCAAATACAGGAATTAACAGAAAAGCAAAGTCAATGCTGAATTAATTAAATAATTACATATACACTGACAGACAGTTATAAAAATCTAAACACCAGCTGACCTTTTTTGTTTCTTATAGATCAGTGCTTCCAAACCTTTTTTGACTTGTGTTCCCCTTTGGGTATTTTGTCTTACCATGAGTACCCATTTCAGTCAAAAGTATTGATGACTGTCAAATAGTGGAACGTACAATAACTGATTATAAAATAAAAAACTATCTTATTTAGTATTCTAATTTAAGTATTTCCTTTATATGCATATTATTCTTCGACCTCAAATAAAAATCAACATAAATATGTCGCTCAAAAGTTAGTAAGGAATTTAAATAAATGTATTAAAAACCTGTATTTGTAAAGCTCATCTGAGTAACACCCTTATAATCACATTTGAACTTTAGAAATTAGGAACAAAATGCAGAACAAAAATTATAGTCAGACTGACTTAATTAGTTTTACTTTGTTTTCATCAAAACACCTGAGCTGCTTTGATAAGAATTCAAATTGCAAATAAACCAGATTATAGAGAGCACACAGTCTTTTTGTTAATTTAAAAACATTGAAATTTAAAAATGTTATTGACTCTTAAACTGCTCAAATCATGTATAAAGCAACGAATAATTTGTTTCCAGTACATATTCAGTATCTGTTTTTGATCAGGGACAGTGCTTATGATTTTAGAGAGTATAAAGTATTCAGAAAACCAAAAGCAAGAACAAATGTTAAAAATTTGTTTTATTTATTTTGTCTGGGTTGATGTATGGAAAAAAATAGATCAGGAGCTAAAAGACTGTACAACATCAATATGGTTTAAAAACATATTAAACAATAATGTGATTAAACACTATGAACTATGAGGATTTAAATAATAGCTTAAGATATTGGCTGCACTTCCTTTTCAATAATTATTTTCTTAAAACTATATTGTGGTATGTATTATAAAATGTTGCCATCTTTGTTTCTTTTCTAGTCCAATGTAACTTGGTTTTGGAGGGTGGGCATTATAGGCTCATTGCTTCTGCCAAATCCTGCTTTTTCAGCCTTTTTTTCTGTTACAAGGACATATACTCTCATTTAATTTATATTTGTGTGTCTGAAAATAAAATATCAATATAAAAAATGAGCTCCAATAGCTTAGTGTGAAAAACAGTTGAAATCAGGCTGTTCTCTACATCCAGTCTATTCCTCTACTTGGTTTTGATGAGTCAA